TGGAAACACACCCATTTTGCTTTGATTTGGGGTCTGGCTTGGAAAGACGATGACAAGTACAGGCGTACCTCATTTTATTGCACTTTATTGTACTTCACAGATGCATTTTTTTTTTTTTTTAAAAAAGGCAAAACCTTCCACCAGCAACGAGATTACAATTCACTTTATTGCGGTGGTCTAGAACTGAACTCAGTGTCTCCGAGGTGTGTGTGTACAGGCGGTATCTCTGTCTTCTAGGGGTGGAGGGCGGACCATAAATAAATTCCAGCCCCAAGTGCTGGGTGCTCTGAGGAGGAGGAGGAGGCACTGGGAAAGCACAGCAGGGAGCGGGACCTTTCCTCTGATCCCCTCATTTCACAGGCAGAGCAACAGGCCCAGCCAGCGACAGACAGAGGAGCGTGTAAGTGCTTACGACCCAAGGCTCCTTCCTTGGCGAATCCACTTTGTCTCGGCTTGTGTTTCCTGTTGGTGGGTCGTTACAGAGCGTGTGCTCCATGCACATCACTGTTCTAGATGCTGGCCCCCCACCTTTGTGCTGAGCTGTGGTCTTGACTGGGAAAACCCCAGGTTGCCCTGAGCCTCGGTCTGTCTGTCTGCACAGCGGGGAAGTAGCCAAGGAGACAGGGTAGGCCCCAAGTCCATGGGAAACTGGGAAATACTGCACAGGGACAGCGAATGGTTATGCTCTCTTGGGCTCTTTCTCCCAAGGAAGGAGCTTTCCCGAAAGAGTCTAGTTAACTGAGGTTTCTAGCCACTTGTTTGTGCTTAATTGAGCCCAGTTTCCGAAACCATGGAATGTCAGAACTGGAAGGCTCTTAAAGACAGTGTTGTCCCACTTAAGGAAATAAGCCCTGAACAAGGAGGTAACCTGGGTTAAGTCATGCCTGGGGGTCTACCAAGTGCCTGTTGTAGACAGACCCTCTACAAAAGTCCTCCTGTAATGTTTATGTTCCAGGTGGGGCAGTGAACGGGAGGTGGCGCTTTGGTGAGTCAGGTATCAGGGTTCTCACAGCAGATGGTGTCGTGGCTGCTTTCTGCTCCAGCCAGGGCTGGCTTAAGAGCTGAGGATGAAACATGAGGATTCACTCCATGTAAGAGCTGTGTCTCATGGCTCACGGCCCTATATCTGCCTGTAGGTCTTAGGGCAAGTCTCTTCCTCTCCCTTAGGGGCTCAGTCTCCTCATCTATACAACTAGAGGCTTAGATCTCTAGGATCTCTATAATCTCTAACTTTTTTCAGGCAGTCACGATATGTGGAACTAAGCCATAAATAATATTTTTGATTATAATAGCTAAGATTTACTGCACTCTCATTCTGTGTCAGGCCCTAGACCGAGCACTTTCTTTGCATTACCTCCTATAATCATCACAGGACCCCCTTAGGTAAGAAGGCTCCCATTGGACAGGTGAGGAGTCTGAGGCTCAGAGTGATTCAGTGAGTTGCCCAGGTTAGTCACCCAGTGGAGGAAACTGCACTCAGGTCATAGAACCCCTAAGCCTGTGCTCCAAACGTCTGTCTTAGCTGCTTCCCAGCCAGTGTTCCCAGAGCTGAAATAAGAGGGATCCTGACCGAGACGCCACTGGAGGGGGTGCTACTGGGACCTGCTGTAGGCACAAATGCTCTGGAATGGGTCCAGGAGCCTGTCATGAGTTCAAAAGGCAGTCTCTGCTTATAGGTGTCCCCCTCCCCCAACCTTGCCCCTGGTAACAGGACTAAGCCCCCCACAGTAGGATGTATGCCGTTCTGGCACTGCAGGAGAGCTGAGGCCATCTCCACATTTTGTAGGTATGAAGAGGTGCCCGGAAAGAGGACATATTAAGTGGCACATGTCGAGTGACTTGCCCAAGGCCACATGGTCAGCTAGTGCCTCAAATGGGATTCACCATGTCTCCTGATTTCCAGGCCACGCTCTTTCTGCTGCAGCCAGTGTTTGTAGGACAAACATTTTTTCAAAGGCTTAGAAAGACTTGGGCATTGACTCAGGAAGCCCCCACCATGTTCCTCGCAGTCCTGTCCCATCCCACCCCGTGGTGCAGACCACCAGTTAAAATCTTATTTAGGAGAAATGGATGCTCCACAAGCAAAACAAAATTGCATCTTCCTTTGTGCTAAACCCACTGCTCCAGGGATGAAAGGCAGCAGAAACAAGTAAATGACTTGGTGCTTAGCCAAGCAAAAAGGAAGGTGGCTCAAGGTCAGATGCAACCTCTGAGACCATCGCAGCAATGCTGCCACAGCAACTCTGCCACTTGTCACCTGGTGCCGCAGAGAGCCCATCACCCTTGACTTTGCTGAGCATGGGGAGGAGGTGGGCAGCGTTTTCTGACAATTGAAAGAGAACACTGAGCTGGCTTCAGCCAGGTGTTAAACAAATATTTATTGAGTGCTCATTTTGTGCCAGGCATGGTGCCAGGCACTGGGGAACTATAGCAGTGGTGAGCAAAAGCTCGCCCCTGCCCTCCTGGAGCTCAGGGCCCAGTGGGTGTGTCCAGACGCTGAACCAAGAGTCCCGCACACACAAACAGGAGCTGTGCTGAGTGCTGGCGAGTGTCAGCTTGGGAACAGTTAGGAGAGAAGACGAGGGCATGCCGGAGTCAGTCCTGAATTCTGAAGGGTGGCAAGAGAAAGACGGTAACTGCCAAAGCCGTGGGTATTCTTAGGCATTGTCTTCGACATCCACGTGACATGTGACAGGGGTCGGCTCTGGTCGTTTTGAGTCCTGTCCTCTGTTTCCTAACAGACTACTCTCCCTCAGCTTTCCTCCCGCCTCTCCGAATGCTCCTGCTCAGGCCCCTTTACTGATTCATCTTCACCGAAGCTACCTCGGGGTTCCTTTCTCTTTCTAGGAGTTCCTTCAGAAATCTTATCTATTCATGGCCTCAAGTCTCTCCTGTCCTGGCATCTTAAATCCCTTCCCTGCAGGCCGGTTCTCTCTCGGGGCATCATAAACACGCTCACTGTTTATAGGCCTGAATGTCTATACCTGAATGACATCTCCAACCTCATGTGTCCTCAGCTGGTATATAGTTAAAAAGACAATCTGGGCTCCACACCATCTCCTGCCACTTACTAGCTGGGTGACCTTGGGGGAACTGCTGAAGTCCCTGGAGGCTCAGATTCATCATCTGAAGAATGAGGCCAGGACGCCAGCCTCACCAGCTGTGGTGAGGGTTAAGTGAAATAGGGTTGCACGGTGCTTAACAAAAGGTCCAGCACAAACTAGGCACCCAGTGAGCACAGTCATCCCTCAGTGAATGGCTCTGCCACACTACTGACCACTCGACCCCAAACCTGGGTCATTCTTGGCTCTTCTCCTTCACCTTCGTGTCA